CACACACACACACACACACACACACACACACACACACACACACACACACACACACACTCTTACACACACACTTACACACACACACACACACAGACAAAGAGTCATGCAACACCTGCGCGGCCCGCCATGTGTTGGCTGACAGTACAGGCAGTAAAACAGATGCAGAAGGCACAGGCAGTAATGATAGAATCTGAGAATAGACACCGCCGCCCTTCTACATTTCAGGTCGGGGACAGAGTCTGGGTTAAGTCCTCAGAACTGGGACAGGAGCACGGGATTTCCCGCAAACTCATGCCTCAGTACTTCGGACCATGGGAGGTCTTGGACATCGTCGGGAAGGATTCGGATGGGCCGTCTTATGTAATCCGGATCTCTGGTCATCTCCGTACTTACCCTGTCTTTCATGCCTCGAAGCTTGCACCTTTCAAGGAAACTAATCAGTTTCCCTCTCGTCGCTCAATGCTGCCCCCAACCATGGATGGAGAGGTCGACATCGATGATATCGTCGACCATAAAGAAATGCCAGTTCCAAGACCAACAGGCAGGGGACGTCCTCCGAAAGTGAAGCTGCAATACCGGGTTCGGTTCAGACATCACACGGATCCAAAGGAGGATCGATGGTTCACCAGGGAGGAACTGATGCAGACCGCTCCTCAGGTTGTTGCCCAATATGAAAAGTCTTTGCAGAAGGGAAAGCGCCAGATTATTGAAGACTCTCAGAGGACTATCAAAGTTATGGAGGAGGGAATGCGAGGCCAAGGCCCCGATGAGCCCCTTTTCGGCCCTGTTATGCAGCACGTCGGCCGCCCTAAGTGAAGGCAGGCTCGGCGAGGGTCTAAGGGTCCCTATCTCGGTCACCACGCAACTGTGGAAAATTCAGGCAGTTGCACAGCGCCAGTTGGTTCAAGAGCACCCAGGCCCAGGACGCTTGTTTGCATGTATGGAAGGCAGGCCCTGGACTGGATACGGGATATGGGCCAAAAACAGGCCGAGGACAGTTGGGCACAAGTAACCACCACAGACCCTGGGCCTGATTCGTTTGGACTGGGCCTCAGCCTACCGGGGTCTACCGGAAACTTCTTGGGAAAGGCCCAGCGCAGCCTGGGACAGAACGCAGGCAGGCCACTTCCATATAGCAAAGGGCGTGCCTCCGCATTTGGCACTCGGGTGCTGGCTGCATGCTGCACAAGCGCTGCTGCGCTGAAGCTGGCTGGCACTCACACGCTCAGGGGCGAGCTGGAAGGAGCAGGCAACCATAGCCAAGCTGCGCTGCTGTAGGCTGGGTGTGGCGCAGGGTGGTCCTTGGGTGCATGAGGCATCTGTGTGTTGAGGAACAAGGTTGTGAGTGATGCGAGAGACATACCTGGTGCTGGAAGCGTGCGACATTGGCCGCTATCTGCTCGTACTTGAGGAGAGCTGTTGTTGTCATCTTCGGCATTGTAGTATAGGCTAGATAGGATCTTCCATCTGTAGTCTAGGCGCCGAGCGCCAGATAGGATATCAACATTGGTTCTTCGTTGATGATGATGATGAGACTATTCCAGCATTGTCAATTATGAGCTTTTGGTGTACTCTTATTTGGTGAAACTCGTGATGCAATTCTGCTATTGGTTCGAGGTCACGACTATCTGGTCTTATATGTATGATGCTGTTTGATTGCTGAAGTTTGCTATTGCTCATCTTCCTTGCATTTCACTTGAGAGTCCTCTTATTGGGAGTTCCAAGCGCACGCTACTTTGAGAGTCAACCTTCTTCTGGTGCATCTGGTGGGAGAAAGGCGGTGCACGGGAAGTGCCCAGGGTGGGAGAGTGCATGATGTGGGACTAGATCACACATGCATGCGCAGGCATACCAACTTCAGCTTGTGCTATCGAGACAATTAGTAGGGTGGCCAAGACGTCCTGTTTGTCACTACATATAAAACAATCGCTATTTCACAGCGTGTGACCAGCAGCCAATCTGGGGCCTTTTGTTGCCTTGGTGCCCGACAGTCCAGATTGGCTGCTGATCGTTTTCAATGTCATCAACTCGCGATCTGCACCGTCGTCACCGTTTTACCGCACTCATCTTGATCGTTTTCTGGCTGGTAGCTGGGCCGGTAGGCACTTGGCCCAGTAGTGCCGCTTGCGGTACTACTGGGCCAGGGCCTACCGGCCCTGCGCAAATTCGCACTCCCCAGGCCCCGGTAGAGCCACGCGGCACCAGCGCAAATTCGCACTCCCAGGCCACGGTAGTGCTGCGCTGGGCTGGTAGGTCCAAGGGTTGTAACAAACTTTTTTCAGGGAGGCGGCCGCAAATTTGCGCTCCCCAGGTCCCAGTAGTGCCGCGGGCAGCGGCAGCGCAAATTTGCACTCCCCAGGCCACGGTAGTGCTGCACAGGGCCACATGTAACAAACTTTTTTGGGGGAGGCGGCGAAACGGCTGATTTTGATGACGGCTGCCTACGCACGACTTCGACGCTACTCTACGCTACTGCGCTAGACTTCGACTCTCTGCGCCCGACTTCAACTCCCGACGCTTGGGCTTGACCTCGACTATCTACGGTCAACTTTGCTTCTCTCTCTCTCCCTCTCTACCAAGCGCCCACCTCCCCCTCCCCCTCCACCTCCCCTTCTCCCCAGAGAGAGAGAGAGAGAGAGAGAGAGAGAGAGAGAGAGAGAGAGAGAGAGAGAGAGAGAGAGAGAGAGA